TATATATATATATATATATATATATATATATAATTGATTAGTAGTATTTCGAACCAAAACGAGTCAAATACGAACGAACAAATCTTTATTTGTGTTGTTCGTATTCGGCTCATTAAATTAGCGAACGAGCCAAACACGAATTTCTTAGTGAGCCGAACACGAGCTATTCGCGAACAACGAGCCACTTTGACAGCCCTAATGGTATGGAGAATTGTTGAGTTGTAATCTCAAATCTTTTTATTTCTTCCCATCTGGTGCTTGTGGAATCTCTCTCCCGTAAAAGTAGTTGAATCAATTCAACTCCGAACCAAATAAATTCTTGTATTAAATTATTATTGTAAAAATTTCTACACTTCGGTATTATTTTTGCATAACATTTAGTGCCCGTTTGGGGCAGCTTATATAGGGTGTGCGGTGGCCTTTTCAAAATATCGTCTCCCTGTTTGAATATCGCGATTGAGGCTAACTTTTTGGTGCCACAGTGTTTTTCTATCGTTATTTTCTTCTTGGTCTCGCAAGCCGCCTGCCCCTGTGTCCCGTGTATCAATAGGAAAAAATCTCTGTGCTGCCCTTCGCATATCACACTGGCTGCCTTGCCTCACTCTCTCTTGCCCCTGGAGAATCGGCTAGGACCTCTGCTCGCAGAGGATCTTTCCAGGAGAATCGCACGCCTTGCCTGTCAAATCCCTAGCCGATCCTCCCCTCTCCTTCGCTCCCCTTCGCTGAGATCGCCCGGCAGATCCATGGGAGGAAGACTTGACATTGAACAAGGATCTGTGTTCTCCATGTGAATCAACAGTACTCTCATCTTTATTAATCTGTTATATGAAACCAATAGAAAAAGCAGGTTTTAGTGGCAACATAGGAGCTGTAGAATAAGAAATTTATTTGTTGTAAGAAGTACTTGCTACAAGAGTGTGATTGGGTGGTACATTAGGCTTAAATTTATCTTGATTCTTTTGAAATTAAAAATAGAACTGATATTTATAGATGGAAAATCTGAGTAAGTTTGCATTCTACCCTAGCTTAAGAGTTTTTAAAGGTCTAGAAAAAGTTTTTCTTTTTTAAAGAAAGAAAAGAAAAACATTTAGGTTTCATGCAAAATAATATAAAACACAATATAAAATTCTTCTTTATTTTAGTTCTGTTGCGTTCTGTTGCAAACAGCTTAACCAAATAGGAGCAGAATAATTATTTATACAACAACAGCTCTCAGTAAGCTGTTCTTAATAAGCTGCCCCAAAGCTGCTTCAAACAGCGAGTCAGCTTATTTTGATAATCTGCAGATTATCAAAATAATCTGCTTATTAATAGATTATAAATAATCAACAGCCGCCCCAAACAGACTCACAGCTTAGCGTTCGTGATCGAAACATGATTCGACGTCTACGGGAACAAATCTGATTTGTATTAATTAGGTTTTTTGCAGAGATGATCCGATCTCTTTTGTCAATAGATTCTGAAGACTGCGACGGCACGGAGGATTGGACGCGAAGATTTGGGGCATGATTCCGACAGTGGTTCGGGAGGTTCGGCAGCCGGCCCGTCTTCTTCCTGCAAGGTTAGGCAGAAGTCGTGTTTATGTGGAGTAGTTTTAGCAGAAGCTTCGAAAAAAAATAATAATTAAATAAATAAATAAAAAGAAAGGAGGGAAGAGCTGAAGAAAAAGGTTTCTTCAAAAAGGAATTTTTGATTTAGAAAGGGATTCTTCCTTTCATTTTCTGAGGTGTGGGCACAGAAAAAGAAATAAATTCGGAAAGCATCGAGCAGGGAAGATTGGAAAATTTCTTTAAATAAATTTTTTTTAAATAAAAGGAATTTTGAAAAAAGAGAAAAAAAAATATCAGAGAAAAATAATTTGTATTTTCTGAAATTTATTTTTTCTCACTTAAACTTTTTTCTTTTGTTTGTTTTCTTTTTTTTCTCAGGTGTTTGGGGAATTAATTGATAACATGATATTAGATTCGTCAACATTCGTTATGGTGGTGGAAAGTAGATACATTAGGTGGTTACATATCCCGTTAAAACTGATGTGACGAAATTTGATGGCTAAAGGAATGTTGGCATGCGACAATGTGAGATTATGGATGTGTTGTGTTCTCTGAATCTGGAGGAAGTCTTAAATAGTGATGAATGTTTTGAAGAGATGTCAAAATAAGATTGGTTGAAGATGAATATGAGTGCTTGTGGCCCGATCAGAATTTGCTTGACCTAGAAAATCAAATATGAGATGATGATGGAGACTTCTGCAGGAAAACAATGGAAAATGCTAGAGAGCAAATATATCATGAAGAGCATGAAGAACAGTCTTCATATGAAGCATCAACTCTATAGATTTCAGATGAAATGAGAGGTTACAATTGATGAACACTTGAATGACTTTACAAAGACAATGACAGATATGTTAAAATAGGATGATGAGTTTAGAGACGAATATAATGCGCTTATTCTATTGAATTCGCTCATGGGTGAGTATGAAAACTTCAACATGAGATCTTGAATTAAGATAAAGTTACTACGACACTGTTGAATCATGATTCCGTCGAAGAGGCAATGAGTCACACTTATACTCCAGCGCGGCAGATTTGAGAAGAAGAAGAGAAATTGGTTAAAGAAATGTGGCAGCGACAACACTTTTCAAAAGTATGGTAAGTCTCATGGGCACAATCTTGGAAAAAATCAGTTTGTTTTCATTTTATAGACTAATTATTAGAAGAATGAATGTCTGAAGCTAAAGGATATGAGAAAGGAAGTTGTGTCGAAGAATAAATCCAATGTCATTATGGAAAGATGTGAAGAGACGGATTCAGATGAATCGTTATTTTCATTTTCTTACGGTTTATTTCCAGATGATTCGTGTTGTATTCTGTACACAGGTGTTACCTATCACATTTGTCTGTAGTTCAATATGTACAAAGAGCTGTATAGTGGTTCGGTGACCATGGGGCAACAAGCAAGCTTATCGTACTATTGGTATAGGGAATATTTTTATCAAGATGCGTGATAATACTGTAAGAGAGTTGACTGATGTTAAACATATTATAGATATCATGAAGAATTTGTTGTAAGTTGGGACTTTAGAGT